ACTTACCTTCTCTATAATATAAATATAGACCTTATTAATGACAACAAGTCTTTTCTTATTTAGTAAGAGGTTTAAAACATATCGCATCAATTTACATATCTTCTACTTCCAAATGTTTAGATTGAGAGGTTGTTGGTATTATCATTGAATTATAATAATATGGAGGTTCTCTTGTATAATTTTTAGATTGAAACTCAAAAAATCAATGTCATACTTCACAGCAAAATCAATTGCTTGATTCAATGTCTAAGAATCACATAAATTGAGTATCAATTTCTTTACCTCATATTGTAATCCATAAAAAAATTGGCTGATAAAGATAATATCATTTTACTTTACATCGATCACTAGTTATAAAAATTATGAAGTATATGATATTATTGATTAATTTTCTTGTCGCAAGATATAAATCTTATTTGTTGCAACTTAAATTGCATCATGTTCTCTATACATGGATTGAAATTCCGCCAAAAAAGCCTCCATATTATCCAATATTGGATCTTGTTATTCATGAAAAGATAAAAACCATAATAATGTTGAACTTGAAAGAAATGTACTAATAAATCTAACTTGTGATCCTAATATTGGATAGCTTTGAGGTTGAAATTCAATCGCAAATTCTACTTAATTGATAAATCCTCAAAACTTGGATTTTGTACTATCAAACTTCTTGACTAAAGTAACCCTAGGTTTTCTAATACTAGAAGGATGTTTTATTATAAGAGAAGGGATGTGATTTGGTATAGATATCGAAGGAGCACTTATCATATATATATCTTTACTTCTTGTTATTTTCAATTGCTCCAAGTGACAATAAACTGAGTTGGTGTATTGCAAGCATCAACTTCTCTAATTATTCTTGCATTTGTGCCATTACACTCTTCATTTAAGAAACTCTCCATAATAACACTTTAAAAAAAAATGTCTAATATTGCTAAAGACAAGTAGAAGAGAGAACTTGAAAACAAAGAAAATACTAAGAATAATATTAGTTTAGAAGACAGTAATTCGTAACTTCTAATACTTTTATGTCTTATTAAGAGAAAGGAGTAATCCACTCTTAATCAAGAAAAAGACAAAGCTCTAATATTATAAGTGTAATTTTGTCAATTTGTCGAAGACATAAACTGAAAAAAGATGCATAAATCTGAAAAATTTGTATCAAAAGAAAAGTGAAAAAATAAAAAGAAAAAAAAGTGTATATTAAAAAGAAATTAAAATTGCTATTGCCAAAAGATAATGAAATTAAAAACACTTGGATCTAGATTAAAAACAAGAAAGAAATTAATAAGAGTGAAAAAGGCTTTGTTCTTGCCTCTACATATATTATCTACCTTCAATCTATGTGGTGACATTCTATACGATCTCCAAAAATATGTTGACTTTATATGATACATATCTTGATTTGCAAGATAAGTTTTTTATATAAGCGCCATATAATTAGCTTATTCTATAAGCTATTAATACATGTAGCACATGGATAGCTTGTTGACTAAGTTTCTAATCTATCAATCAACTACAAATATATGTAAAGTCAAAACAATGTCTAGAAAGGTTTCAAGAAGTTTCTCTAGAAGGTATTATGAAATTAATCTATTTTTACTTACTTTTTTCTATTCATATTATTTAGATAATAATTATAGTAAATATATATTGATAAAATCTATACACATTTACAAATATTTGTCTTTTTTTATACAAATAAGATAAAAGCTCCTATTAAAAATTTAGAATGGTAAATGAGATTTTTAGCCAAGTTCTTATTAATGTATACATTAAATGTAGCCAACTTGTTTTGTAATAGATTATAAATTGATTCAAATGGTAATTGAACTCCATCTTGAAAATCAATGGAAAAATCATAGGAACAATGCTCTCAAAAGATATCTACATTCTTCTTTTCAAAAATATCTTAATAATCTTAATCTTGGCTTAGAATGCCATTTAAAGAATTTTTTCTATTGAAAATAAGTGTGGCATACATAGCAAAAGTTGATCCTTTTTTTGTAGCATGCATGAAAGATCTTAAACCTACAAATAAGAATTTGATTGTATTAAACTTATGAGTTTTTACTTCATTAGGAGAAACTTTGACTCAATTAGATTTCTTATAATCTTGAAGATTATATTTTTTTAATTACAATAATCCTAAAATAATTGAATTGGAGGAAGATCTAATAACATTAAATATTACTAAGTTTTTATAATTTTTAGTTATTATATCTAAAGAAATTATTTTATGAATAATATCTCCAATTGACAAAGAACAACCACCTATGACTTCTATATGTATAAGTTTGATTTTCTTTACTAAAGATATTTTTCTTTTTGACAAAATATTTGTTAAAAAAATAGATTGAAGATCATGAATCTAAAAAAATAAAAGACTTTGTAATTTTTTGGTCATAAACAAACTTCTATTATAAAGTAAGGTGAGGAATCTAAAAAAAAAAATAGAACCTTTACGAGATATTGTATAAGATTTTAGCTCTATAATATCTATTGTAACTAAAAAAAAACTTTTTTTTAATATATTATCCTCTTTGGCTATTATATTCTTCATTTTATAGTTATATTATTTTTTTGGAAAATTTTACATAATGTATTTAGGTTCTCCACAATATAAGTACAAAACTATCTTATAGTATCAAGTTTTTTTTTGCTCAATAAGAGGTTTGAAACATATTATGTCAATTTGCATAGATTTTAGTCTTGATGAATAAGTTTTTGTAAATTTAAGAGCTATCACCATAATTTGACTTGTACCTCTTTAATCAAATCTTTATTTTTGACATCTTATAAAAAATCAATCATTATATATAATGGCTTTGAATAATAAATTACTCCAATTAGTTTGATTTTGATATTTGTTAGTAATAAATCTTTGATGTATTCTTTAATCCATATCAAAATTGAATGTTAAAGGCTTTATCATTCTAATCCACGGCATAAGTAAGGTATTGGAATTCAAGAACATATATGGTGATTGAATATGGTTTTTATTGTAAAGATATAAGTTTAATCTTTACTACTCTTTTTCAATAAATTTCTCCAAAAGTAACAATAAATACTTCTAGGAAGGCATTTAGACAATAAAAAAGACTTGAATCTTTTTCCATCAATGGTTTGAATTAAGAAAGAACACTTGGAGTGAGATGTATGCCTTTGAATCCAATTTGAATAAATCTATCAAGGTATTAAAAAAGATACAACCTTACATAGAGCTTTTTTATTAAAAAAATCCTCAAAACTTTGATCTTCTTCCATTGAACTTCTCTAGCATATTTATCTTTGTCTCTCTTATATTTGTAGTAAAAAGACTTCTTAGATTTAGTTGTAAATTTGATCTACTTATTTCTTTCAATTGAACAACTTTTTGGCATAGACTTTGAATTTCATTCTTAATTTCTTTTAAAGGCATCAAAATACTACCTTCATAATTGACATTAGAAATATGTGACATTTCTACTTTAAGAATGTTAACAAGCTCATGAAGATCTGCAATATTTGCAAATTTATTCTCCCTTATAATGAAAGTAATAAGCATAAATTTTTCTTCTATAAACAATTCAAAGAAATCTATGAATCGAATTAAAGGAGGATAATCTACAACCTCTAATATCAAAATTTCCACAAAGAAGGATAGTCCACTTTCTTTAAGAAAAAAATTATTATAAATAAATTAGAATGTTAGTTTTAAAATAGGTAGTTTCCAACCTTTAAAATATAATAATAAAAGTAAGATAATCCACTCACTTTAAAGACAAATAAAATCAATAAGTTAATATTCTTGTCAAATTATCAAAGTAATAAATCTCAAAGAACTAAAAGATCAATACACTCTTGTGTCACTCAAAAGGATTAGAGAATCACTCAAAGATGGTATTATTTTAAACTAGAATGGCTATTGTCAAAGACAAAAAGATTAGAAAGCCTTGAAATAAGATTAAAGATTAGAAAGACATTGAGAAGAGTAAAGAAGGCTTCACTTTTGCTTCAATATATATTATTTAACTAAAAGCTATGTTACAATGTTCTATAGAATCTCCAACATGTGTCTTAACTTGTAAGGCAAAGTTTTCTATATGTTTGCTACATCATTAGCTTGTACCACAAGCTATCCATATATGCAACATGTGGCTAATTTATTGACCAAGTTTCTAGCCTACCAATCAATTGTAAACATGTGTGAAGTCAAATATACATTTATAAAACTTCTAAGAAGCTTTGCCACAAGATAATATCAAATCTACATACATTTATCTTTTACCTAGCACCTCTTATTTAAATAAATATGTATATCTGTGATAATTCCAACTTAATAAGTAGTTGAACTTATATTCATATTGTTTGATTTAAATCCACTTTTTATATCATTATACTTATTATGGTTCTAAAAAAATCTCAAAAATCAATGGACTTTTTAATTTTTAGTACTTAATATTTTTATATTATAAATAACAAAAAAAATTAGAATGGTTTGAACTTTTTGTGTTTCTTATTTATTGGAAATAAAAATAAAGTTCTTTTTTTAGGATTCTTATAATAGAATTGATTCTTCTATCCAAAGTGATTAATATTTGTACATATATAGTCTTTATATAGATTTATAAGAAAAATTATGGTTGATAAAATGATTATTTTTAATAACAAAGATATTAAAAAGATATGAACCAGAACTAGAATAAAAGAAATACATTGAAAAATTTTAAAATTTATTTTTATTTACTTCTTTTCATACCAATTAAAAGAAAAAGCCATGTAAAAGCTTTATGAGAACTAAGAAGTTTGTAGGTTAAGTTTTTAAGTTCAAAAAATACTCCTACTGTAGCATTTCTGCTGAATTCTATAATATTTTTCTATACATTAATATTTTTTTCACCAAGTTGTGAATTTATACAAGATCATTATTAATTTACTGTAAAAAATCACTTGAAAATATTGCCGTAACACTAGGTAACTAACATATTGTGATGAGAGGGTTAACCAACACAAACAAATAAACAAAAATAATAATAATAATAATAAATAAATAATCATATACATTGTAAGGGAAACTATGTCAACTTCAGTCTTAAAATTGCCTTCCATGGCAAAGACTATCATCATCTTTCAGCAACACTTGAACCATGAGATACATGGCCCTTGTAGGTATTTCTAAAACAACCCTTACCAAGAATGCTTACATTACTGGAATTGTCTGCAGCAATGTGAAAATCTCTTGAGCCACCGAAGTAGCACATCAGGGTCTTGTTGCTCTGGAACGTCGTTTTTACACATTTTAAGTTAGACATATGCCGAAGAGATTGGAGAATAAACTCACGTTGTGTTGATTAGCATGTTGATTTTGTATATTGACTCTAAACAGCTCTGAATTCTGCATGAAGCAAGTATAAGAATCGTGAATCGGGCGATCTATTGGCAAATTTAACTAGTACTATTCACATCAAAGACGTCTTGTTTTGAATAGAGTCACTCCACCAACAGATATACCGTCTTACTTTTCGCATTCTCTGTCTACACACGTGGTGGGAATTAGAAGAGGAACCAAGCAGGATCAAAGTTCAAAGAAATAACTTGTCACATACCAACGAACTCAAAAAATCAGTCTTTTAGTCATCACATCCTGAAATGCAAACATGAAAAATTGAGGTAGAAACACAATATTGTTAATGAGGTATCAATATTGTTAATGTTCGTAGGATTTGGAAGTGGAGGATCACTAGGACACTCCTTTCTTATGGCAAAACCGCACAAATTCAGATTTCTATCCGCTCTGTCAGATAGAACAAAAGTGCCATGACGTACATAGTTGTAAACTTCACTTCATTTGGCATAAAATATCAACAAATGACAGCAAATGTACAGAAATTGCATGTTCCAAAGCGGGTCAAAACTAATTGCTTCAAATGGCAAGATGTCATGTTTCTTTGAAGCTTAGACATTTTTCATTTTAAACTTCTAGACCTCTATAAACCATCTATGAAATCATCAGTTAAATCTGAACTTCCTTACAATGGTTAAAAACCCTTGATGTGACAACCACAGTGTGCAGAAATCTACATATCAAAGTTTTCAATGACAGATTCCTCACATGAACCGTCAAGTTAATTGTCCGAAACATACCTGCAATTAAAATGTGAAAATATTACTCATGTTGCAACTTGTATTACGTGAGATGCCACCCGTGACTATCATTAAAGCACAAGTCGCTTGCACATGCATAATCTTCACACTTCATAACAATCCAGAGAGGTTCTTGAACTTGCAGGGATTGCAAAGAAGACATGATGGCCACAAATGCTGAAAAACTTCACTTGAAGTAATTCAGGCCCACATTTGAAAATGGCTCTGAATACTAAGGTTGAAAACCATCGCTTCTTTTCATTCCTCCGATACCCAGGCCTCTGAGTTTTCTGTAAAGGACACGAGGTGTTGTGAGGAACATAGAAGAAACCCACATTCAGGATTTCCATTAGTACTATCCACAACCGAATAGAAAGACCATATGACGTGAAGCAGGGTGAGAACACCCCATTGCAACTATAATCCAGAAGCTTGGTTTCGCGTGCCTCTCTTGCCACCAGCTTTTCTCGTCATTGCTGGCTGTTCCTACGCTTCTGCTTGAGGTTCTTGTATTCATTTTAGGATGAGGATGCCAGCTGGTTTCATTCCACGTCAACTATTTCGGATTCCGCACTCTCTTTCCAGAAGACATTCTCTTGTAGCAGCGAATACGCCACTGTTCTTCTCCAACGGTACACATCGGGCCATGGCTATGTTGGACTGAACTATGTTGACATACCTGCAGTCCTCACAACATTATTTATCAATGAGCGAGAAGGTCTGATGCTGGACACAAATAAGGCTCGGAAACTCAGAACAAGATCGAAGAAAAAAACGGAAAAAAACATGTATGTAGAGAAAGATGTATCAAGAAGTCTTGGTTCTCTAATTTTTCGCACTCCGTGTCGTTTAATAATTCACTTGCAATTTGCACATTTGAGATAGACCACAATTTTACTCGGAGATAATGTGTGTTCCCTGCTTGGTTCTTGATCAATTTACAATTATTAATCACAATGAGCAATAGTTGTAAATGTTGCAAGAGTTCTTTCATTTCGTGTGTCCCAACTACAAACCCTGATGAAAGAAATAGTTCTAAGTCATACTATTAGCACAACACTCTTCCCACAGTCTGCGTTCAACATGCATATCGGGTAATCATGGTGTGAAAGGTGCTGAGAAACCGGAACTGGACTGTATGTTGTCCTCGCCTACCGCCTTCCCAAAAGTCCCTACGACGATTCTCACTGGTCGGTGCTCATCATGGTGCAAAGCTGAGTGAATGACTGATTAGAAAAAGTAGAAGGTTCTAACCCCAGGCTCAACACAACTACTCCGTCAGGGGTTTGTAGCAAGAAATGAGTGCTGAGGACCTTCTCCTGCAGCCGCAACGAGACCTGTCTTTCGATCCTCTTCCTCAATCTCAGCTTCAACTTGTGGACACATACACCCAACTTATCTGTATCTTCCGTTCACAACGCAGTAAAATCACACAAAGACACGCAATGACCTAAAATCGTCCTAGGAGATGTATGCAACAGGGTTTAGGTTGGATAAAGCTTGCACAGTGACTCGTGAGAGCGAGCGGCCTGGCTGGCTGCAGCTAGCAACAGGAGAACCAGATGACAATAAACTCCTCATCAATCGGAGCTATTCCCACCATGAAACTCGTGCATCTGACAGCTTGATCCCGATATTCCCTCCCTCTTTGAAAGGGGCACACACTTGTTGCATCAACGAGAAAGACTGTAAATGAGGGAGTTTATAGTAATTTAAGTATATCTAATAAGTTATCAGTATAGATGTCATGGAAGCAAGATAATACATCGTTATGTGCATCTCATTTGTACATATATAATATTTGCTTGCTTTAATTTTCCATCACAATTACTGTGAAAGGTTGAAATAAAAATAAAATAAAATGTCGTATTCTATTATTGCAATATATATTTGTACATCTCAATTATTGTAGATTTTTTATTGAATAATACTTCCATGAATATACTGTGGACTTTAAATTGGAAACGAACTCGATTCAAATTGTGTTTAATAATTTTATTCAATGACAATTACAAGATACTACACATTCTGATTAATTTTTTTATGTGAAATACTTTTATTGATACTTTAAAACAATGGACTTCAAAACACGTGTTTGTTAACAGTAGTTAAAATACAGAAAATGCAAATATCTTTCCATATATTTTATGTTTATTTCTTTGAACTTATGAATTAAATAGTTTTGCTTCAAGGCATACTTTATCTTGTTAATAAAATAATATAAACCAATCAAAAACAAAAAAATCATTATAATAATGAGACAAGAATAGAAATTGCAAAAAACTCCATTTAATCATCAACATGTCTTACACACCAAAGTAGTAGTTTATATATTTATTTAACTCTATTTTTGGATGCAATATGAATTATTATTACAATTATTAAAATGTGTGCTCAGAAGATAAACATGAAGCATTTTCATTGCTAAAAATTCACAGACTCAAAAGAGATCTTTATGAAAGAACATTACAGCTGGAATTATGATAACGGAGATTGCAAATGTGTCCATTTTTTTGTTTTCATTGAATACATACGATCAAACAATTACTAAATTAACATACGAGATATATGCACATCCTATTTTATACAAGCAGTGCATGCATTGTACTAAATTGATACGAAAAACATTTCCACATGCAGAAACTTCAGTAGGTGAACCTATTACGCACTGGGCACTTCTATTTGCTTCCAAGCTTAAAATAGACATCGGTTTAGCCAATCTAACAACATTAAATGCACCGAATTGGGTCATTTCAAAGTTGACCCTTCGTTTGTGGGGCACGAAAATAGTAAAAAAAAAGTAAGAGAAAGCATTCTAAAAAAACAATGACAAATGTTTCATTCGAATTAAGCCAATCATAGACGTTTTCATCCATGTGCTTCATCCACAGAAGTCTGGATGAACCTCGTGAATAGACCCCCAGCGAGGTGAGCGAGGTGACGGAATGGCGACGAAAAGAGGTAGCTGGGGGTCAGGGAACGCGGAATATTTGTTCGTTCTCAGTGGTGGATGAAGTTCGCAGTTCTCATGTATGCGAACTCCGTACACTTGGACACGCATGCACCGGCGGGGCCTGGTGAAACCCTCCCTTGAACCACGGAACTGTTCGGCCCTCGATACTGGTGACTAGGTTTAGTAAATGAAGCAGCGACGGAAAGTGACCGATCACCGAGGAGAGTGAGGGAGCACGAGTGGCCGTGACCGTGGCAGTGGCCGCTACCGTCGCCCGACACCCGCGAACTGACGGCTGCGGTCGGTCCCCGTGTCCCCTTCCCCAGGAGCACCCCACCCGCTTTGTCTCCCCTCGCCTCTGCTTCTCACGACTCCAGGACTCGTGAGGTTGTGCGCATCTGCGCGCGTGCTTCAAGTGCGCAACGTTTCTAACTTACCGTTGACTGTTTCCTCTGTACTGTGGAAGCCTACTGTTGTTGTGTGTTGTGCCGCATTGTGAAGGCGGCGGAGAGCGGCGCGTCTTGGGAGGATTTTGTTAGGGGATTGGTTCGGGAGCCAGGGTGGAGTCGAGTGGAGCTTGGCCTCCCCTAGCTGGGAGGTGAGGTTCACTGTATCGCTCTTGTTGGTGAGTGAGCTGAACTGAACTACTTTTAGCTTCAACTGGTGGGTTAAGTGAGTGCTGGGTACTTCGTGGCTTGCTTGGCTTCGTGTCTGGTTTCGTGCTTTAGCTTGTTTTGGTGTGTTCGGGTGGAGGCAGTGTTGGTCTGTGGCGTCGAGCTGGCATTGTCTTGCAGAGGTCCTGTAGCTATTCGTTTGCGGCTAAGAGATTGTAGACAGAGCTTATTGGTTTCTGTGTGGCTCTATCTTCTTCTTCTTTTTTTCTTTTTTTTTTTTTTTTTCGTTTTTTTGTTTGTTTGTTTGTTTGTTGTTTAGATGGCTAAGTGGGCCCTCTCTTTGTTGCACATTGTGTTACGAGCTTGGTGTATCGCCAATGTAACCATGGATTCAATCCGGTTAGTTTTTTATGGCTCTTTTCTGGCTGTAGTTTTCAAGAGCTGCTATTCTGTGTCATCTACAAGCTTAAAGTGCGCATTGTACTTGCTTGATAGAAGGAAAGCTTCTAATGCAAGTTGTCGTACACCCTCATCCCCGTGAAGAGTTTATTTTTCGTTTTAGTCTAAGCCTCCGATCAGTTGATCTTGTGCTACTGTTACAGCTCGCGACATTAGTACGCAATGTTAAGCATCAGGCGTCCGCAGCAACCATCTCATTTTTTTTCTTTCCCCCGTTAAGATTGAGAGTGTGAAAGATCAGGACTTGGGTTTCTCTGAAAGACCTAGTGTTCGAAAGAGAGGGAGTTTTTTCTTCATTATGCAGTAATTAAATGTAGATGCACTGCACGAATGTTTGAAATAAGCATTGTATGGTCTTACACCTCCATTCACATTAGCCAACCTATATGAATCTGAAGTTTTTAAGTTAAACGCCACAATGTAGTGACCATGTATGAAGATGACACTCATTTTTCCGCATAGATCTGTGACTTGCGATTATCAAGGGCTCGTGGATCAGAGCTGCACAGTTAAGTTGTATTGGTTGGATCACGAGCATTGAAATTTTTAATTTCATCAGTTGCGTCTGTTTGTATGCAGGTAGGAAGTTGAGCACGCACATCTTCAGCGCTTGTTGGTTATGATATGCTTACTCTATGGAAGTAACGAGGGCTTGAAGTTAGGTTGATATAATGCAGAGAAAGCAACCGTCTTTCTAGACTGGAGTGTGGTTACTCGTGTCGCGCAGTAGGGCTAACGTTTGTATTTCATGGAGATGGAAAAGCACATGAGGGAAAACTGGAAGCAAAAAATATGGGCCAGTTCAAGACAGCGAATTGCTGACACCTATCAACGTGCTTCTTCCATGTAGGGTGCCCGCTTTCTTTTTGCCCTGCATCCCTTCTCTCTTCTTTTTCTTCCCCTTCTTTCGAAAGTCTTGTCATGATCACCATGTTGGAATTTCACGACCTTACGAATAACAGAAAATTTCATTGCCATAGTTTGGTGTCCTTCGAAGTTTCAGTGTCAGTAAGGTAAATCTTTCTCGCGTATTTGGTTCATTTGGATTGTTGCATTTGCTTCACTTCGCAGTGACCTTTTGTATGATCGTGTACCTCAATCTATCTGGACCTTGGTCGTGCACAAAAAAAAGCTGTAGTATGATTTCCAGCAATCTGCGCATACAACTAGTAAACGGTATTGTTCCGAATTAACACATTCTGCCTCCAATTAGCAGCATGACTATCATTCGAGTCTTCAGATTAGATGCTGATGGATTGAGGCGTTGGTGGTTCATTGCAGCGATGTAGAGGCGCTCTTGAAAATTTCCGTTCTAGGAAACGTGGGTAACGAGATGCTCAAGCATGCGCAGCGAAAGACGTCTGTTATAGGGAACGTGGGGAAGGACATGCTCAACCACGCTCGGCGAAAGTATGAATCTAACGGCCTAGAGAAGCATTTGAAGCTGAGGCAGTTCTTTACACGGTTGCGCTTGGGGCGCTTTGGATATTTACTGTTGGTATTTGCCGCTCTTGGCACATTGACTGTACCATTGATGTTCCAGGATGCATTACCTGCGCAGTTGGATCAAGATTTGGCAAGAGATATGAACGCACAGTACACTAAAGAAAGGTGATTTTCTTTGTATCGTGTTATTTGATTTAATGTGATGGTAGCATCCTTTGTAGCTTATCACAATGCAAATTTGGTGACGTCAATGTCTGTTTCAGTCTCTAGGCTATTGACATTCCTGAGTACTTCTCGTTGGAAGCAGGATTCACTGTTTTGCAGCATTCTGACGCTGGGTTGGGGTCTGTTAGCAGAGGGGTTGATGAACCTTTCAATCGAAAGATAAAGCTCGCAGAGGAGAAAATTATTTATGAAGAAGGGAAAGAATCATCAGAAATAGTTGGAAACGAACATGGCCACTTAACTGGAGTATCAGACACAGAAAAGAGCGAAGAAGACGAGTTAGCTTCCAAAGGGAAGACAGCAGCATTGCTTGTTTCCGAAGACGTAAAGCTTTCTGATCCTGCGCAGCTGTGGAGGAAACCTGATCAAACAGAGGGGGAATCATCTGAAGTCCTGCATGTCCCTTTTGACAGGAAGTCAGAAGTTGATATCTCTGGTGGAAGAACCGAGAGGCAGCACAAAAGAACACCATCGAAGGCTTCAAGACGGAGACGAAATAGGTCGAAACATTTGAGTGTCGTCGAAGAAGAACCCAAGCGCGCTCATAGAAAGAATGAAGCTGGTTTCCATGACAGAAGATCTGAACGGGGTGACAAGGTCGATTCACATGCAACTGTGTCATCGGTAGAGGCCTTCTCATCTAATAGCATTGAGGAAACATCGAACATAGCTCCTCCAGGAGCTCACTTCACTAATGATACTGAGGGGTCATCCAATGGATTTAATGAAGCTTTTAAAGAAGTGCTGAAGCTTGCAAGCGAAGCCAATCAAACAGCAGGTAAAAACTCTGTTCATTTGCAGGAAAAGAATTCGGTGACAGAGTCCTTATCCGCTGATAAATCTGCTGAGCTCGATGTGCAAGCGATTGGAAGTGTTGATGTGGTTTCTCAAAAACTTTCAGAAGAAAGAGAACAGACTGCTGAGAATGGCACACTTGCTTCAGTCGGGCTTAATCCCGAGGAACATGACCGCGACATATCAGTACATGAAGGCAAAGACATTGAACTAGAGGTTTCTCATTCTAATCAGACCGAGTCCACGTCTGCCAGGGAAGAAGGTGCAATTGAAACTCTCGAAGTGGTTCCAGTTGAGGAGAAAAATAACCCCCAAATTGTTAACCTGTCCGACAAGATGGAAAACTCCCGTAACGATGAATCACAGACCAGCACAGCGAATTCAGGATCTGAGGGAACTACGACGGCTGGTGACACGAAGATCAATGCCTCGGATTCTCGAGAAGATGTCGGTAGCTCTAATGAGTCGAACATCGTCCAAGGAAGTGACCCTGTGGTTGACGTAGTTGAACCTAGCAGAGAAGCCAATAATCACTTGCAGAGTTCTAGTGCTGTAGATGGAGGAAAACTCGCCGATTCTATGGAAAATAATAAAAATACCCCAGATTCACAGGACGAGGGCAACTCTAAGGTAACTGGTGCGGTAGACGGCAGTTCCTCCGAAGAACATGAAATGCAAACTGAAGTTCGTCAAGAGAACAGCAATGAGTTACCTCAAGAATCTGTGATAATCTCATCATTGAGACAGAGAGCAGCATCTGGTACTCTAAGATCCGGATTGTTGAACGTGGAGGCGATAGATTTGCAGCACTGGCAATTTCTTGCTGGTGAAAGTCCTATAGTCGTGCCACTTGAGAGAGTGAACGAGGGTATGGACTGGACTGAATTCTATCCAGAATGGATCGATGAAGAAGAAAAGTACGGAACTCCAAAGTGTCCTGCAGTTCCTATGCCAAAGGTCAGCTCAGAAGTAAAGCTGGATATGGTGATTGCACGTGCATCTTGCTCTGTCTCCTCATCACTCCATGAAGTTTGGAAACAACCCGCTTCCCTACAGGTATTACTTTGGTCGTGACGTACGAAGTGATGTACATTTTCTCTTTCCTTTCAACTTGATTTTTAAAATAAAATAAAATATAATAAAATATTTTTTTGTCTGGATGCCATGAAGAGCTTTTAATAATGAATTGATCTTTTTTTTTTTTATTAGAACACATTCTCATGTTGATTTTATTTCTTGTCAAATTCAGTTTGAAATCTTATTACGTGGTGTCAATGCTCGTACCTCGCGGTGCTAATTCTTATGACCTTTGGCTTGCAATCACAATTCAACAGGTCCTACTTGGAGCTGCAAGTCTTGCTGTGAATGCAGGGAACGGGAATGTTTATGTGCTCATCTTGAGTGAATGTCGGCCTCTTGTGAATCTTTTCTCGTGTGGAGAACTTCTGGAGCACCGTGATCAGGGCTGGCTTTATCAAGTTAATATAGAGCAACTTAGAAAGCGGATTTCGATGCCTGTTGGGTCGTGCCAGCTTTCAATTCCTCTTGAAGGACAAGGTACATCGAAGTTGTTTGTCACCTTCTTTTCTGAAAAAATAGTGGTTTCCTATTCTAATATCACGTAACCGAAGTTCTAAAGGGATGTCTGTCGTGGTGAAGGTTTATCCTCAATACATTTATAGAAGTAGTAAATCCCCGTTACATTTATAGAATTTCAGCTAAGACTTTCAGCGTAACAGTTTGCCATATTTCTGAAGAAGTGATCCCCTGAGTCCCAGTTGAGTTTGAATGTAATGAATGAATAGATCCCACCTTGCACAAAATTAGAGGGATTTTAAAATTGAGGGTAGCGCTGGTAACAAGGTTTGGAATCGCATTTGCTTACCTGTGTGAACGTAGCCACAATGGTTCTTATGTACACAATTCAAAGAATTTTACAATCTGTGAATGAACATTACCTTCGTGTGGTTTCCGTTTTGCAGATTCCTCATTGAAAATGGGAGATTCGGACTCGCAGAAAGAGGCATACGCTACCATTCTTCACTCTGGATCAGATTATGTGTGTGGAGCAATTGCAACGGCTCACAGTATCCGCAAGTCGGGTTCTACCAGGGATCTTGTCATACTTGTGGATAGCAGTATTTCGCCTGAGCAAAGGCAAGCACTGCAGGAAGCTGGGTGGAAGGTTCGTGATTTGGAAAGAGTATATAAGTCGTACACAGTTGAAGGGAAGCAATACGAGAGAGACTTCAGCAGATTTCGGTTGTGGCAGCTTACTGAATACAACAAGGTTAACCTCCCATCTCCAATTCTACATTTTCTAAATATTTGGAATTTTTAATTTATTTTATCCACCTGTTTGCTTGTGATACCAAGCCCTTCTGATTCTTTTCTCAACCTGCCAAATTATTGTTCAAAATTCTGTAGTCAGTGTTGGAAATTTAGGTAGTAACTCCGGCTAGGGATCATCCATGTTCTGTGTTTGATTAGTAACGATTACTTGGTGCAAACTGTGTATAAGACTGTTCATCTATGTTGCTGAACAGCCGAAGTGGCACATCGGTTTAATTGTCGGGTTGCTTGATGGCATTCAACATCGGAATTTGACTTTTCTATGTTGTACATCTTGTAAACATGCCTGGAGTGTACAATATATGTGAAGTGATTGGTGTAAGTACTTATGGGTTGCGCACTGTTTATTCAGGTCATTTATGTTGAGGCGGATGTTCTTGTGCTTCGCAACCTTGACCATCTTTTTACGATGCCAGAAATTTCGGCAAGTGGAAGCACCAAGACCTTGTTCAATTCTGGTGTGATGGTCATTGAGCCTTCGAGTTGTACTTTTCAACTTTTTGTGGATGAGATGGAGAAGAGTGAATCAGAGATTGGTGGTGACTGGGATTTCTTCAACAGAATTTTCCCTTGGTGGCACCGAATTCCTAGACACATGAATTATCTGAAGTATTTCTGGACAAGATCACGAACCAGTGAGGTTAACTACTCGAACAGGTCAGCTTAAGATTTCAAAGTTTTGAATCTTATTTTAACGTTGAAATTACAAACTGTTGGATGCATTCCTCGGTAGGTTACGAGTGACTACTTGTGTAAAAAATTTAGTGCTCATAGTTGTTTTAACTTTTTTTTCACCCCCTGCGATTGGCTGACTTCAGAGTTTGTGCTTTTTTTAATTTGAACTTGCGCAGGCTGTTTTCCTCGGACCCTCCTCAGTTGTATGCAATTCATTACTGGGGATACAAACCCTGGCAATGCTTTAGAGACTACGACTGCAACTGGAATTCCAACCAGCATTTTGCTAGTGATGAAGCCCATGCTCGATGGTTCAAGGTACAATGTCACTCTCTTTGATTTCAAGATGGAGCTAGCATTCCTCCGGCATTTTAGTATGTGAAGCGAAGATGGTCTGATTTGATGCTATCATGTGCCTGTATCGCTATAGTTGAAACCAGTGGCTTTATTTATTGTAAAGTTTCTGTTGTTATATGAAATTTGAATTAGTAATTGCATGACACATGTAGGTTTCGTATGTCGGTCCTTAAAGTATTTAATTAGGTTTAACAGGAATTTTTTTGCTCCAGTTCTCAAGTCGCACTGTTTAAACTACCCCTGTATGGCCAAGTTGCAATGTCATATTGTTGTCGATTCGTCAGTTTCACCATACTCTAGGTGAATGCAGAAAATACAGATAAAACATTCCGTAGACCTAGTTTATGATTCTTTCTAGCGAATCTTGTTGCAGCTGGTTTGATGTTCTTTTTGTGAAACAGGTTTACGATGAGTTACCAGAGAATCTGCAGAAACATTGCGCACTCTCTACAGGCACAAAAGCGTATCTTGAACATAACAGGAGGACAGCTGAGGCCGCAGCACTAGAAGATAAGCACTGGGCTATCACCATCAAAGATCCTAGGCTGAATGTCTGCCAAGAAGGTCATTGTGACTGGAAGGCACTGCTCTCAATCTGGGACAAGACCGTCAACACCACAAGTGCGGTGGTGGTCTCGACCAGGTGAGAGCAGGAACGAGATGTCCTGTGTAACTGACGCTGGTAACATTTACCAACTCCTTCGTTCATGGATGAACACCTCTACACTGCCGCGAAGAATGACAATTATGAAGATCAATGAGTTTGGTTTCTCAAGTCACCTCTGCTCAAAATAGGGAGATTTCTTACAATTCTGAGAGCTTTTGATAATATTATCATGTCAAGACATTCTAGTGCTGAATAGGGAGGCTTTCTAGTACTTGGCACGTGACTTCAGAATCTTCTGGAGATTGCATGTGTGAGAATCTCATTTCTCGTGGTCATCCCAAACCTGGCTGAATTCCTAAAGCCATTCAAAGTTGTTCTGCAAGTGAAGAACCTCAACGACTTTTGCTCGGAAGATGAGTCACTTTTGGGAGTCTCTGAAGCATGTTGAGGTTTGCATTCCGCTTTGAGTGTGAATCGGCACTCGCTTCAGCCTCAGGATGCCTATCACCAAAGTTGAAGTTAGCAATATGGTTGAGACCGTTCATGTGATTATTATTCAGTTGGTCTTTGTAACAATATCTATAATCAATGTATTCACAACTAGGTTTTCTTTAGTTGAGTATCAGCTGCTTCCTGGACGCGTGCGGCTCTGCAAACCATGAATAATTTAATTGAAGTACTTTTTTTTTTAATCAAATCATGTTTTGCCCTAAGTTGCACTAGTTAAGATGGTGAACATACAAGTCAGGAGCAATTTTTAATAAAATGACATCAGGAGCTTTGATAGGTTTGGACTACACAATGCCAAGTAGTCCAAGCTGAAAACCTTACAGTCATCACTTGTGCTTCGTCTACTTGTTCAAGTGCAGTTGTAGTTTCTTTATGGACACCAGACAGACAACCGCATGTTTCCCTTCAGAACCCAGTTTATCCGGAAATAGTTATCACTGGAGAGGCACCTCAATAAAGTCTGACTGTACCTATTTAAACTCTCCACCAAGCTTTGCTTGAAAGCAATCTAAGGTGTGAACCATTCACTGTAAAGACAAAGAACTTATGTCCTAGGGTTGCTCACTTTTGCATGTTGGGTACAGAAGTACATTTACTTACAGTAAAGTTGATGTGCATCTCCCTACTGACTAAAATGTGAATGTTATATGTCTCTTGAGTGCATTCTAAGTGTGTTGCTGTCGTGAACCATGTGATAAAATTAAGTTTGTCATCACTAACATCCGCTCAGAGGATTATGAGGTACTTGCCACCAATACCCAATTAAATGAATAATCTAAGTGAACTTTGGCCATTGCAAAAGCTAAGTATTTAACCTTTCAAAGTTTTTAGTTCATTCTTTCAAGTAGAATACTAACTTTTTTTTTGCAACAGATGAAATGTCTTTAGAGTAATTGGAGATTACGTAAAAACGCTCTGTAAATAAGATTAAAAAATGCTAGAAATTCTTTTTTAGTATTTAAATAGATGTTTGCAGTGTTTTTCAAATAAACAGAATATAAATACAATCAGAATTACATTTCCAATTTCCTACAAAACTAGTACAAGCATCACGTGATGGTATAGTTATTTACAAAGTCGTCTGCATTGACTTCACCGAGATTTTTGAAAAAAAAAACTCAAATATCTTTGTTAAATTAACACTTCTAATGACAATAAAATTGTCATATGTGTGTGTCTCAAAGAGTTGCATAATATTCTTTACAAATTCACAAGTGGTCTTCAAAAAAATTTATCGTAAACAAATTTGATCTAAAATATATCTTTTGAGAATATAACTTGTAATGATCAAAAACATAAACTTTCATTCAAGGTTTTACAAATCGACGAAGAATTCATAAATTCTCAAAAAAATATAGGTTTTGATGATTTTTACAGTTCCAGCACAAAATGTAAATAAATACAAACACACACACATGTGTATTAACTGTTGCATTTTTCTCACTTGTATAATTCGTCACACGTTCCTTTTTGTTTTCCAATTTTGTTTTGTGCAACTGGAAAAAAATAAAATAAAAATAAAATAAAAAAATAGATATCTATAGATATGTATATATATATATATATATATATATATAGATTTATTGACGTGTTCAAGCAAATTTTGCAGTTACTAAAAACTCTTTAAAAACTAGAACCAAAAAAATATTTTCCAACAAAGATAAATTACCAAAAATTCAACAAATTACAGACGGTTAGTAAGTTTTGCCCTCAGTGCCTTCCAGGACAGCATCAATATTCTAACAACAGACGTTACTTGCGCCGTCATCCCCTCAAAATGTCCTTTTATAAGTCAGAGCAAAGTGCTGAAAAGCAAACCTCAGCTGGGCCAGCTAGAAAAGAAGAGTGCAATTTCTGTTTCCCTGCCCATCACAATCCTGCCAGTCATCCAAATGGTGACCGGTGACTGAGATCTTTTAATCCCACCTGCTTTTTCGCCTGATTTATTGTTTGGTATTTGCTTCCAGGCAGGAGTGTGATAAATGCCACTGCAGATAGTTTATTCTCATAACACCTAGTCACGAAGATCTCGAAGGAGCCCAGCCCATATAAAACCCTAATTTTAACCCACCGAAGGGCGAGACAAACGATATGACCCGATTGAGACGAATGTTGAATTTGCGGTGACCCGATCACCGAGTTCGTAGTTTCCACGGGTCTTATCAGGATGGTCGTTGCTGGCAAGCGACGTCACGGGTTCTCGTTCGTCGGGGAAGAGAAATTCTCGTCGACGAGGGTGGGGGGGGGACGATCCTCGTTGTTCTAGAGAACGAGAGCCGACGAACGAAGCCCGTAAGGCTGAGGTCAGGCACCGTCTTGCACCCGGACTGGGACGGCGCCTCAGGAGCGCCTTGCTCTTGTCGTCATCCCCTGCGAGACCCCCTGTTTTCACGAGCCTTCTGCCCCCGCCGTTGCAGGGGTCGCCGTTTTGTTCCGCTCGGCGCCTCTTCCTGCCTGCATTGGGCTTTCTATCGAGCTTTGGATGTTCTTTTGAGCTGCAGTGTTCAGGGGCTTCTCATCGCTCGTCTCGTCTCGCCTGCGTGAGGAAGCTTAGTTGATTGGATTTTGCAAAGATGGCGGGTGCGATGGCCGCTCGGAGCAGCAGGCGCTTCATGAGCACTGCCTCCAAATCGTGGTTCGGGCATGTGCAGCCCGCGCCCAAGGACCCTATCCTGGGCGTCACGGAGGCGTTTCTCGCTGATTCTCACCCGGATAAGATGAACGTCGGCGTTGTATGTGCTTTTCTCAGTTTTTGTGGTTTCACTGCTGTGTGTGTGTGTGTGTGTGTGTGTTTATGTGTTTGTTTGTTTGTTTGTTTGTTTTTTTGGTGCTACATTTCTTTGGTTCGATCTGTGCGGAGTTTCCTAGCTCGTTGAATGGATTTTAATATTGTTGTAATTTCCCTTGAGAGTCCCTTTGTTTGCGCCGATGATGGATCGTTTGGTTTGATCTAGTAGGTGAAGTATACATAAACTGTGATTGGGTTGCCTGCATCTTAGATTTGTTTCACGGTGAAATGAATGGATGCTAGTGTAGAGCACTGGCAAAATAGTGTACACGTCAGTAGCAATGGAGTTCATGCGCTGAACATTAAATCTGCTTTGTAGTAATTCTTCGGATTTGAGAAGCGGAATATGAATCCCGGTTGCTGTGTATATGTTTGTCTTGTCTCGTTTTCCTTGGATGTACTATTGGATCGATTTTAGATTTGTAGGATCAGAGTAAATCTGGAAGTCTAAATTTTTTCGTCAGCTAAGGAGAATGTTAGGATTTATACCCTTTACAGTGGCTGTGCTCACTTTGAGCATTTCTGCGCGACCTGGAACCTGGGTCTCTCAGAAGAGGTATTTGTTTTGTGGTAGTCGTGGAGGCGTAAATGAATTGTATTTAGGGTTATTGTCGTGGAGATAGGATGATGAACTCTACTTTTAGTGCTCTAAGATGGTGCAACTTGCCAGGGGGCGTACCGTACTGATGAGGGCAAACCATTGGTATTGGAATGCGTGCGTAAAGCTGAAGAAAAGATTGCCGGTTCCAACTTCATGTAAGCCCTCTATCCGAGTTTCATCTGTTACTGTCAGCGAAGTCTAAAACCGCTCCTCTAGATCATTCTAGTCTTACTCCCCATGACCTTCCTGGTATTGCCTCAGGTTTTACTCTGGGGGTTTTCTGAGCTTCAGAGAGCTGTTGCATTTTTCTGTGTTTTTTATGATTACGTTCACTGAAGTTTAATGTTGTTGTAACAGGGAGTACCTTCCCATGGGGGGTGATATCTCTTTCAACAATCATAGCATGAAGTTGGCTTACGGAGAAGATGCTGGCGTATTAGCTGACAAAAGAGTGGCTGCCGTCCAAGCCCTATCAGGAACTGGTGCATGCCGTCTCTTCGCCGACTTCCAAAAGCGATTCATGCCAGAGTCTCAAGTTTTTATCCCCGTTCCAACGTGGTCCAAGTATGCATTTCCTTCATTCTTAACTCACATTTTGTCCTTCCACATCTCACTGCTACCAAGTTTAGGGATTAGTATTGATGCCGTAAATTTGGTTGGTTGAGCTTGTCTGTGCGGTTATTGCACTTTCAAAAAGCTTCTCTTTGCGTAATTCATCTTGTTTCTAAAGTGCTTCTAGTCACAAATTCTGTGGTATTAATACTGTTCATGAGTTGATGCAGCCATCACAACATCTGGAGGGATGCCAACGTTCCTCAGAACACTTTCCGTTACTATGACGCAGCTACCAAGGGCCTCGACTTCAAGGGCCTCATGGAGGATGTGAAGGTTAGTGCTATATACACTGTCATTAATGTCTCATGGCAGTAGATATTTCAGTCGCATGATTGAGGAAGAAGATTCAGGGTAGTTGTCGCTTGTGCTAGCAGAGTTGATGGATACAGTCCTTGATGTACTTTATGCCACGAAGTTTCTGAATCTACTGAAAGATGTGTACCCTATTGTCATTTTATTTCGGGAGGTAATGTATATCCAATATTAGAGAATGTAGTAACCATGCCCTGGATTTTGCAGAAAGCTCCCAATGGTTCAGTTTTCCTATTGCACGCTTGTGCACACAACCCGACTGGTGTAGACCCATCTCCAGAGAACTGGAAGGAGATTTCTGCATTTTTTAAGGTAATCCTGTTCCCGTTCCAGGTTATGTGGTGTGTACTAGTTGCCTGTCGTAGCGAATGCATTTTTTGAGGAGGCTACGACGTATTGCTTAGTTTATGTACGGAAGTCCGACTGTAGTGTTCAATCCCTTAATGCTCTGTTGTTGGAGCTCTAATTTTTCTTTTGGCATGTATGGTTGCAGGAAAAAGGCCATTTCGCCCTTTTTGACATGGCATACCAAGGGTTTGCTTCCGGTGATACGGAAAGGGACGCCCAGGCTATCCGCATTTTCTTGAACGATGGTCATCAAATTGCATGTGCACAGTCTTTCGCAAAGAACATGGGTCTTTATGGCCAGCGTGTTGGATGTCTCAGGTGTGTTATTTATGATTCCTGTTCTGTATGGCTACATGATTCCAAAAATATTTTTTTTAACTATATCAACTAACAAATTAGTAATTTAAGGCTTGTGTCAGAATTTCCTAGATATCTTGTGCTTTTTAGATCCATTCTTTCCCTTAGAAAGAAGTAAGCATTATTGTATTTTTGTATTGTAACAATTCTTCGGGTATTGGATCAGACCGTTGTGTTTGAGCATGTTTAGAAGAACTAGTTGATATGCGCCACTCATGGATGATGGACGGGCGTTTCAGTAGGATGTCCAAACATGGCGAGATTCTCAAAAACAGTCTTATTGTGACCTAAATTCCACCTAACGTTTTGCTTTTTGAATGGCTAGTGTTGTGTGCGACGATCCTCAACAAGCAGTTGCCGTGAAGAGTCAGTTGCAGCTGATTGCTCGCCCTATGTACTCCAACCCTCCCTTGCATGGTGCTTTGCTTGTGTCCACCATTTTGGAGGACCCTGAACTTAAGTCCCTCTGGTACAAAGAAGTTAAGGTAAGCATTTCTTCAGTTTTTGAGATTTCTTGTACTGTTATTTATCGCAGATTTTCTTGCTTATTGCACAAGCGACTCTGTTAGTCATATGCTTGTGTTTTCATAAATTTGTTTCTACTGGTCTGCTGAAGTTGTGTTAACTCACAATGGCGTGCACAGAAGCATAGAAGCCCTTGTCTTGGCATGGTTCCAGATATTTGTTTGCTTTCTGACATATTTTTCTGTCTTCAAAGCGCGATTCATTTAATTTTCCTAAATTAACTAGTTTCTTTTCTTCGCAGGGAATGGCTGACCGTATCATCGGCATGCGTGAGACACTCCGTACCAATCTTGAGAAGGCTGGATCTCAGCACAGCTGGAAGCATATCACTGATCAGGCAAGGTTATCCCGTTTCTAATTATGTCGAACTTCCTTGTGCTTGAGTTCCATATGTGCAACAACTGCGGTATATTGTAGAGGTCTTATGACCTATCAAACTCTTTGTGACTTATTTTATCTTGCGTCATTAATGCCGACGAGATTCCCTTTAAACGTGATGGGGATTCTTCGGCGCAGATTGGTATGTTTTGCTTCAGCGGTTTGAAGCCTGAGCAAGTAGATCGTTTAACGAAGGATTTCCATATCTACCTCACACGCAATGGCCGCATCAGGTACTCATTCAATCTCAACACTAAACAATTGTACGTGAATTTGACACATTAATCTATTAAAGTAATCTAGTAACCGAGTGCAAAGTCGGTTCCTTGGTCTAAAAGGGGAATTATGCTGTCTCAATTTTATTACCTTCAGATATAGAAATGCTCCTTGCTTACACACAAATGCATTTGTTCTGCTCCAAAGCTTCAGCTATTGTTCTGACGTGGTGTGAATGGCGTTGTGTTGCAGTATGGCCGGTATCACTACTTCCAATGTGGAATATCTTGCTAATGCCATCCACGAGGTTTCCAAGAACTAGGAGGTTTCCAAGGACTAGGAGGTTGAGAAAGCTTGAGATTTTCCAAGCCACATTGGTTAGTTACAGAGCGAGGTTTGTGTACCATTCCTTCTTGCATACATGTGCATGAGTTTTTTTTCTCAGTATAGCAAAAGGAATCGACGAGCAGCATTGATAACCATTTTTGGAACTGATCAGAAGAGAGAAATAAGCGCAGGCCTGTTGGAGTCTGGCCCCACACGGGATTCACCCTCCATTTAGTTCTTGGGCTACAAATCTAGAGTAGACCCAATATACATTGTGTTGTTTCTGGAGTGAATATCAGGAAACACTAGTCTTCTTTTGTCAGTGTTGAGTTATTTCGACAAGGTGCCGTTCTCTGGCAAATCACGGACTGCTTGTATTTTGCGCTATGTTTCATGAAATTACTTCTTGGCACTCATCCAGAGCACAGGTCTCTATTAAAAAATACAAGAAAATCTCCCTTAATTGCACACATTCCACATACACTAATAATCTTATTTCTTTCCTTTTGCGTAAAGTTTTCCTAACTATATCACAATTTTTCTTGACATTGTTTGTTGAAAATTTAACGATTTATTTTCTCGCTAGATACTACTTTTAACATATATCTATTCGTTAATATGATATTTACTAGTATTTATAATAATAATAATATTATTATCACCATAACAAAAAAATACATCTCATGGGTATGATGCAATACTTTTACGTATTCATGTTACAATGTGGAAAAAAAAATGTAACTGAGCAAATCTTTTCTATCTCACATACCCTATTGCCAAGTCATCAACCCCAAGATACAATCTTTTGAAAACTGCATGATATTTCCCACCTAGTAATTTACCATCCACTTTTTAATTTTAGTTAACTAAGTAAAATCAGACACTATAATAAATACAGAAAAAATTACAATTCAGAAAATAAAAACAAACAGAAGAAAGGATACAGACTCTGAAGTAGGGGGCAACGGAAGGAAGGAGCTAATGGACGAACGTACTCATCAACGAATAACTGAACGGTTGATTGAACAAGCGAAAATGGTAGAATGCACGAACGAATGAAGTCTCGAACGGAAAGAAGGAGGAGAGAACGAAGCACTGGGTGATCGGGTTCTCTGACCCAAGCGAAGAGCGTGGGCTGGCTCGAGGGGAGTGGGGTGCTACAGCGACCAGCGGATGGAAAGCACGCTCAATCGCGGGTCGATCCGGGTCATCTAGCCCGGGCCTAATGCAGCCTGTCCCCCTACCCGAAAATGGTACCAGGCACCCGCCGTATCTGCGGGTATCAACCCCATCCCACTTCAATAGTGAAAGGCGTGTGCCGGCCTTCTTTACCTACTTTTAACTCACCCTTATTTAGATCAAACGCACGAATCGCGAATATCCGGTGATCAGAGAATATTCTCTTGTTTCAATGTCACGTGACGTGATGACTGCACGTGGAATCTAACGGTCGTGATGTTTCGTTTTGTGATCGATAACTATTCACCAGTCTCCGTCGTGTAAATCTCAGAAGCTTCCTCTAAGCTTTCTGGTGCTGACTTTTGGCTTTTTCTATAGAACTGGGAACTTATCGTTCCCTTCGCTGGGAGCCATCGTGTTCCCGTGTTATCCAACATTGCAAAGCTTTGCTTAAGTTCTCCCTGTGAAGCAGCCAATTGATGCTGGGTGTTCATTGGATTTGCACATAATTTTCGTTGAATTCTGTGACTCCATATGCTTTTTATTTTTTAATAATTAATTTAATAATTAAATATTTATTTTTTATATTTTCATAAAAAAATATTAAAACAATAACAAAGTGGTTCTATGTTTGTGGCCATTGTTGGTGTGTGTAGAATGTTTATAAATCTTACAACCACATCACTTTAAAAAAAAATTAAATTTAAATATTAAAATAAATAAAATTTCTATTTTATTTTCAAACCAATTTATAAGTTTTAAATTACATGCAATCACAAAGTATAATTGAAACAACCAAACTCAAACTAATTCAACTTTTGAATCATTTCAAAGAATTATGACCAATCACACAATGCAATGATTTAATTCAAAAAATGCATCAAAAAATCGAGTTATACTTCATAAGTCGTGTTCAGTGTTGTACATTATACTTGACTTTTCACAAAACTTTGAGTAGCTTATTGTGGCTTTTAAGTTTTAATCTCCAATCAAAATTAGTTTTTCATGCTGTCAAACATTACAGCTTTCTTCATGTTTGATGAACAATATTTTCTCACTATTTTTTCACAGTCCAAAATCCATAAATATTCTTTAATGGATATCTTTAAATCATTTACGAAATAAAATAAAATAAAATATTGCATTCCATGAATCATACATAATGGTTTGAAGGAGGTTAATTTTTTAAAGCATCAGTTTTCTAGAAGAATTACATTGTATGAAATTTATGATATTTTTTAATGAAATTAAATAAATAAAAAATAAATAAAACTATAAAATTATGGTTTCAAATACAAGTATTCAATATAATTGTTTAGTCTGAAAAATTTGGATTTTTTCTTTCTTTCTTTTTTTTCCTTTTTTTTTTTTTTTTTTTTTTTTTTTGTTAAATATTCATGTTCATAAAACCAATAATAATAAAAATTCATCCTATCTATAAAGTATCCTTAAAATCATTATCATTTAACACTTAAGTAGTACAATTTTTGTTTGATACTTCTAAAACATAACATATTTTATATTTAAAGAATCTGATTAATACTTGTTATAAGTATCATAAGAGGTTAAGTAAATGTATATAAATATAAAACCAATATTTGTGTATACTTTTCTTTTCATTGTATATGAAATAAATATAGATTATTTTTGAACTTATTATTTTATTTAGGAAGATTAAATATTATGAGGTGATACCTTTCAAAGCAAGAATTAATGTAGTGTTTTTAGTTTTATGCTCTGTATGTTTGTACAAATTCAATGGTCAATGTATGGACAAAAGTCTTTTGTATACTAAATACAAACATCATTAATTTTATACTAAATTTGATATTAGTGTGAATAAATCTATTAAATTATTTTGGCTTTTAAATAACAATATAATTATCTTTTAAATTTTTTCCTTATTTTTTTATTATGTAAAGTAGCTTGTATTTAATTTTTTGAAAACTACCTATTAAATCAAAAATAATCATAAAAAACTTTTTGATAATTTAAGTATATTTTTAATTTAAAAATTAATTAAATTTTTTTAAAATTATGATTTGTTATTTTTATATATGGTATATCAAGAACATAATTATATGTGAATGTATATTTTTTCATATATTGAACATACATGATTAACATAAGTAAATTTTTAGTATCTTAAACAAAAAAATTTAAGCTTTTTTTATACTAATATGTAATAGAATGTTTCATATGTTTAATTTTTAATTAAAGTCATTTAATAATATATATTCAAATAGTTAAAAATATAATTTTGGTTGTAATATATACTTTTTCAACCAAAAAGTATTCCTTAAGACACATCTTTTTGACAGTTCTCTACAAAAAGAATTTCTATCCAATGGAAAAAATATTATATCATCTTTGAGTGTCTTTTTAGTTCCTTTCAGTAATACAAGAGTGTATTAAGGATTTTCATTCCTCAAGAATCATGTCTTTGATAATTCAACAAGAGTGCCAACTTCTTATTTTTTTTCTTGTTTTAGAAGTGAGTGGATTACTCCACTTCTATTGTTGTGTTTTAAAGATTATAGATTATTTTCTTTTAAAGAAACAATCTTGTTTTCTAACATTGATTTTTTCTTTAAAAGAGAGTAGATTACTACTCTTCATGGAAATTTTCATTTGACATTAGAGGTCTTGGATTACCTTCCTCTAATTTATTTTTTAAAATTTTATTGAGTCGTCTATGGAAAGAAAGATTATGGATGCTACTTTAAATGGAAGTGAATAGATTTGCAACTATTGCAAATCTTCACAAGCTTATCAATACTCTAAGAGTAGAGATTTCACATATTTCCAACATGAATCATTGAAGAATTATTCCTATGCCTATGGACAAAGTTTAAAGTCTATATTAAGAAGTTGTGTAATTAAACAAAGTAAGTAGATCAATTTCACAACCAAATCTAGGAAGTTTTGTTTCTACAAATACGATGGGGACTAGGATTAATATGTTCGAGAAGTTTGATGGAACAAGAACAAAATTTTGAAGATCTTTGCAATAAGTTAAGCTCTATCTAAGGTTGCATCCCTTCCAATATCCTGATGGATTAATTCAAGTTGGATTTGTAGGCACACTTCTATGTGAAAGTGCTCTCTTTTAGTTTGTATCTTTAATGGATAAGGATTCATGACTTCTCTATGATTTGAATTCATTTCTAGAAGTATTTATAGCTACATTTGGAGAAAGTGATCGAGAAAGAGTAGCAAAGACCAAGCTCTTATCTTTACAACAAGGATCACAATTAGCCACCATATATGCTGCTGAATTCCAAAACTTTGCTTGCAACGTGGACTGGAATGATAAAGCCCTTATCAATTAATTTTGGTATGGGTTGAAAGACAATAAAAAAGATCTATTATTGATAATGCCAAAAATAAAATCTTTGAAATAATTTATTACTTAAGCCATTGTATGTGACAATAGATTATTTAAAAAACGTCAAGAATAAAGACTCAGCTGGAAAAGAATAAGTCATGTAATGATGGTAGCTCCTAAGTTTTTTGAAACTTATTGTCAACGACATGCATTGGAAAAAGATGCAATAAATCTAAGAAATTGTCACGGACATATACATTTACTTCAATAGTTATTTATATGATTAAGTAGAAGTAGATAAATATAGAATAATTTCATAAAGTCTTTTAAAAAAGCTTCTTAGAAGCTTCATAGATGCAGTTTTGACTTTAGATGTATTTGTAGGTTAGAAACTTGGCCAAAAAGCTAACCATGTATTGGTAGCTTGTGGAACAAGTTATCTCCGTGTAGTAACTTGTGGAACAAGCCAACTACGTGGCACATACATAGATAACTTATCTTGCAAGATAAGACATGTGGCTAACAAAGTCAACACATATTGGAGATCTTGTAGGACATCGCCACATAGCTCTTAGTTAGATAGTATATATGGAAGTAAGAGTGAATCCATATTCATTCTTATCAACGCCTTTCTAATCTTAGTCTTCTTTCAAGTCTTTCTAGTCTTCTTCTATTTGGCAATAGCCATTTTAGTTAATATTAAATCACCTTTTGAGTAACTTTCTAGTTCTCTTCAGTGATAGAAGAGTGTATTGAGGATTTTCTTTCTTCGAGATTCATATCCTCGAGAGTTTGATAAGAGTGCTAAAATATTGTTTTTGTCTTTTTTAGAAGTGAGTGAATTATCCCACTTCTATTGTTGTATTTTGAAGGTTGTGGACTACCCACCTTTAAATAATTTTTTTTATT